CTCCCAGAATTCCCCAGCCAGCATGCTGGCTGGGGAATTCTGGGAGTTGAAGTCCACACATCTTAAAGTTCCCAAGGCTGAAAAACACTGCTGTATATGAACAAATTAGAGCCCATAAAACACTTGAGCTATAACCTGAACCTCAAAAACGCATAAAACCTTTGGAATCAAAACTTTCCCACTCCACTCAGTTCTAAAAAATATGAGCATGGCTTTTGAACTTATTGAAATACAAATTTATCTGTATTCTAGGAACCCACTGCACTGAATAAGATTTCAGATATTTAGAGGTCTTTCCTTGTTCAATTTGGTGCCCATTCAGTTGCCAATAATGGTATGTTTGTAGTTTTCATTCAGGACCCCATTATATTTAATTTTTGGTAGTTTACCAAGAAGCTCCTTCTTACGATAACCAGCTAAAGCTCATAATGCTCTCTTCAGCTCCATACGTGCTAATGAAAGAACTGTAGCAGTATCAGCGTAAACTAAAACTACTATTACCCAACCTGCCAAACTAGATGGCGTATGGACCTGCACCACAGTATGAGTAGTGAAATTGTGGAGAAATTGTTTTCTGTACCTAACTAGGTGGGTATAATTCCCTGCATGTTTCCAAGCTCACTTCAATAGTATAAATGAGGCAGGCATTTAGAGGTTCAGCTTGAATCAATTTTCTTAACTCATTACTCTCCATATCTATTAGACTACCACACCCAAAATTACTAAGTCGAAAGGCCACTGGCCAGTTCAGAATGTGTACCTTTCAGAATGTTGCCAAAACCTCTAATAGAGTTAAGTGATCAGATTTTTAACCCACCTTGGGGACAAACCTGGATACTACGTAGACAACAATGAGCAATGAACTCAGCATGCCAATGCTTACTCCAGCTGAATAGAAGAAGACTGAACTTCTGCAAAGAGAAAGAATATTTCAGATGCTGTGCACAAAAATTTACACAGACAAGAAGTTCGACATTTTATTACAGGGAAAGGCAGAATAAGTACGTACCAACAGTAATTCTAGGAATTCTAGGTTTTTGGCTGGTAGCCACAAAATGAAATTACAGCAAGGGTTGATGGATAAAGAGGAAGACAAAGGGAAAACAAATTATAGCAGCAGGAGGAAAAGTGAACAGTACTCCAATAACTAGGAGCCATAAAGCTTCCTCCAAAGGGACAGACTCTAGCTTGGCTGCCAAATATTATGGTAGTACTTTAAAAGAGCAAACAATATGTGGAAGTCTTGCAAGAGTTGGAAATGATGACGCATACACATTGAGACTTCACAAATGTCCCCCTTCACTACTCAAAAAAAAAAAAAAAAGAAAAGAAAAAAGCAGAGGACAAAAATATCCCGCCACATGGAAGCCCATGGAAACAAGAAGACTTGATATTTCCCAAGTACTCTGCAGTGCAAAGGGACGAATGAACACAATCACAAGCTGAAGAAGAGATAGGCATTTACTAGATTATAATGGCTACCAGTTGTAAGCTGGCAAATGCTGTGAACTGGATTTTTACTCACCTACTCATCAAATCACCACAGAAAAACAGCAGAAGGCCCAGAAATGTAACAATGAAGAGCTTGGGATCAAGTGCTACAAGAAATAATTTTTAAAATTAATCTGCTGGCTGAACTACTCGAAACATAACAGCAGATATATGTAAAAGGTATAAATATCCTCCCCTCGATATATGGTCTTTATGTTTCTGCTGTATCCAGATTTTTGATAAAGTGATTGCCAGAATAAAAGATTGAGAACTACTAAAAACCATTGCTGTAAAGTCTTAGAAAAAGGCAAACAATATTTTCTTTTAAAGTAGTTCTTCCCATCATTCACATTTTTTCCAAGTAAGAGCCAACTGGTTTGAAAAATGCAAACTGCATAATAAAACCAATTCACACACTTTACATTTTATACCCCAGGACTTCATATACACACTCACACACAGCTCAGCAACTGTGAACAATTGTGTGTCAAAATGGACAGATATTATACAGTACTGTGCAAAAGTTTTAGGCAGGTGTGAAAAAATGCTGTAAAGTAAGAA